GCCGCCAACAATTCCTAGGTCTGGCTGGGCTACATCTGGGATCGCGGGATATGCAGGGGAGTTCCAGGATAATGGCAACAGTGACGGTGTCACCGCTTCTGGCGTAGCCTCAGTCGATGATGAATCATCTGTAGTCGTGGGATTGGCAAACTCCAAACTGGGATCAAAGGACGCTGGTAGAAAGCCCAGGACGAAGAAGTTGTAAAAGTCTCCTCCCGTCTCCAAAGGTCCCGTAGGGCCTTGACTGTAGTAAATACCTATGTTCCTTTCTGTTATTGTCGTGCCGTTCTCGAGCTCAACTGTAATCGTCTCTCCAGGGTAAAAAGGAGTCAGTCCACTGAAGACGTTGAAAGCCCCTTGAATATCCTGAGCAAAACTAAACATGAGTCGATTCCAATCCGTATCAGGGTCAACCGAACCGGCGACATTTCCGGCAGCGAAAGTCTCTAGATACTGTGTAGTGTTCTGACCATTTATGGATTTGATAGCTGATGGCGTAAAAGAAGTGAAGACATTACTATCGAAGACATCCGTCCCTACGTATACCTTAGGCGCTTCCACACCATCAACCGAAAGCGAAACTATGTCGAATGGACTTCCAAAAGTAAAAGCCGACATAATACCGGCATTGAGGAATAAGTGGTCGTCATGTGCATTATTGACGAGTAATTGTAGAGCTGCTTCGAACTCATACTGATTTGCGAATGAGCCGCTGTTCACCGCGTCTTGTAAGGATTGGAGCCCGCCTATTAGGTCCACACTTGGCTGTTGATATGTTGATGGCGGATTCTTTAGATAAGAGATAGTGCTTTGAAAACTCAAGGTATCGTTGTAATATTTTAGAAATCGTGTGGCGACAGCCGGATTAAACGGAACACTGGTTAGGCATTCGTAGACAAGAGTAGCGTCAAATACGAAGGCACCTATGTGAATGTTAGAAATATCTCCTAACTGATGACTTGAAATGTTTTTACCGTTAGGATCGTTAACTATTGTGCTACATGCCGACTGAGGAGGCGGAGAGGCCGTCGTTTCCCCCTGAGCTGTAGCTAACGAGGCGCCCAGCACCGTGAAAATGAACGAACGTAACCACCAGTGGCACGCCATTATTAATACAGTTACATCATGAAAGGGCCATCGCAGTTAGGAATTTTTGATATGTTGACGTGAATTGTATATATATCTGCATTAAGAGCTGCAACCCTATAAAGTCAATTCTTCCTAATTTTAATCCTTCGTGACCCCGTAGGGCTTGTAAGTCTCATTGTACGTCTGATATGCATAATTCATCACGCAAATGTTTCTTTCTGGATTTAACTCCGATCTATCACAATCCTACAGAGCCCCGTAGGGCTGGCAGCATCGCTTTTAATAACATGCACCTAGACTTCTATGCTGTTTCGATATCTTATTTTAGAGCTTCTGTTTCACAGCCGTTTCGGTCGATGCACGCTGGGGCGCTCCCACCTTACCCCAATCTTGGGGGACCCATGCCTGTCAATCTCATGCGCCACCTGCTATCAGACGGAAGGACCGTGGCCGTGCAGGGAAGTTCGCTCGCGTGGGTTGATCAATTGTTTTGTGTGGGTGAATACGCCCGAATTGCTGAAACGCAGATGCTAAGGTGCAGTGCAACTCTGCCTCTGGATTCCTCCTCGGGACCGATGAATACCTGCCCGTTTTGGCTTTCGCTGAATCCTTCGCTCCTAAAAGAGCAGACTCTCCCGCATATTCGGGTCTGATAATGCTTATTTTCTAATGTAGATAGTAGAATGCGGAGACATACCCCTACTAAAAGTTCAGCGAGTTAGGTATACAGAAGTTTCACAAAAAGCAGGGAAGTCTATAAGGTTGTCGTAGTTCAAAATAATCATGTCTGATGAAATAGATGCTATAAGATAATACGTGAGATTATAAACTGGTGCTCCTAAACTATCATTTGTGAATATTGAGCGTTAAACTATTTTCTTTGAAAGCACGAATCGGAACAAGATCATGGCAGTCGGCGTTCTAAAGGAGTTCGTCTATCCTCAACTCGAACCAACTCACAAGACTATACGTCTCGTGCAAATCCTATCAAAACCCAAGGAGCCCCCAAGAGTTTCGCTTGAGGAAGTCCGTCTTTTTGAATCGCGGCGGCCGTCATACAGATGTCTCTCATACACGTGGGGTGATCCTCTTGATCGAAGTCTCTCTTCGCCTGGCAACCGTGTGCCGATGTCTGGTGAACGTGACTACTACGTGGTAAACGATGAAGATGACTCCGTCATCAAGGTTACTGAGAATCTTGTTGATGCTCTTCAGCAGATTAGTCGCCTCCAATGGTCCGATGGCAAAGGGCAGATATCTTCCTGGTGGATTGATGCAATATGCATAGACCAAGAAAATGAAACCGAGAAGAACGCTCAAGTTGCTAGTATGTAAATATCCCCAATTGGAGCAGAGACTATCAATATAGTCTTAAATAGTACTGAAACATCTTTGTTTCAGCCGTAAAAATTGTAATTTTACTGATCATATCATAGTGATGGACCAAATCTACCAAAAAGCAGAGAGTGTGCTGGTATGGCTCGGCAAAGAGGATGAACACACAGGGGTGGCAATCAAAGTCTTGGAAAGCCTAGCGAGTGTAGCTCCTACCTTAGCCAAAACGCCGAGGACCCTCCGCTCCTTCAACATGGACAGCTTCCGAATCCTCGACTCTCTATACGGACTATGTAAAGACATAGGGATGCAGGACGTTCACTTGCGGGATCTGGTTCATTACGCGGCTTTCTTAGAGCGCAAGTGGTTTACTCGCATGTGGGTCGTCCAGGAGAGCTTCTTCTCTGCGGCCACGAGGGTCTTCTGTGGCCAATGCGAGATCAAATGGGCGATGATCCAAGACGCATCTCGAGTCCTGGCTCAGACTGGTATGGACACCTTGCTAAAGGCCTACGTCGGCTACGCAACACAGTACAGTCTGGTCGTGGATGCTATCAGACTTCCTGATAATCGTCTCAGCAACCAGTTGATTTTCGGATCGCTACATAGAGGCACTCCAGAGGCCATAGGTCTGGGGCAGCTCTTGTCCTATAGCAGGTCCTTCGAAGCCTCGAATCCTAAGGATAAGGTCTACGCTGTCTTAGGACTGTGGAAACATACGCGAAGTAATGATGTTAGTAGCATTGCCATATCGCCCGATTACAAGAAAGATACTTCTGATGTTTATATCGAAGCTACAATTGCTGCGATACACGAATCGGGGAATCTGGATATCTTAAGTCTTATCGAAGGCACTCCGAGCGAAAGCACTCCGAGCGAAGGGACGATTAAGCTGCCATCATGGGTCCCCGACTATAGTCAGGGGCCGCAGGTCTATCCCCTGGTTCAACCTTCCAAGCCTATGTCGTACTCGGTACGCTTACATGACAACTTCGAAGTTCCTAAAGACAGCAAGATGCGAGCTTTACCAGTTCAAGGGTTTCAAATTGACGTCATCGAAGACGTTGCGCCGACCTACAGCGCCATTATGAACGAGTTTGAGATTGGTTCGTTGCTATATCTGCTATATACATACCCCCAGGCCCAATACCCTACCGGCGTATCTCCTTGCTCTGCGTTTTGGAGAACGCTGATCAAGGACACCTTTCGCGGAAGCCAGGCAAGTATAGAAGCGCAACATGCCTTCCCTGCATTTGTGATGCAGCGCATTCGAGAGATGAGGAAGGAAATCGGAAATTTGGAAAGCTTCGACGAGATGCAATGGGCGGCTGAACTTAAGGTGGTCCTAAGTGACACAGAGCTAATAGTAATAGAGACTCTGTCTTCGAAATATAGTGAAGATGAAGCTATCCCGACACTGCAGAAGATTGAAGACATGATCAGGGTTGAAGAAGAGCAGGTGGGTTCACCGGAAGAGCAGAAGTTGGAATCGGAGCGGAAGGACATAGAAGAAAGCTTCCGGATTGCGTATTTTTCGCGAAGGCTCTTCAGAACAGCTATGGGTTACTTTGGCATCGCATCCCAGTCTGTAATGCCGGGTGACGCGGTCTGGATCGTGTCTGGTGCGAGAGTACCCTTTGTTTTGAATGCCGTGGATGCGGACGAAGGGCGATGGCGACTTGTGAGTGAGACCTATGTCCATGGACTGATGCATGGTGATGATCCGACCGGCGAAGCATCTCTGAGGCATATATCTCTGGTATAAGTAAAGTGTAACATGTATTCTAGAGCTTGGAAGGATAGTCGATTTAAAATAATCTACTAGGGCGTCAAGGAGCACATACAAATCTAGCACTCTCTCTTTCACTTGGCTCACTTGGTCTTGCCTATCTTGTATGCGAACTGCTGCTCAAATGGTTACTTACATGATATCGAAGCCCTGGCTCGGGTCTCGAAACGTGAACCTGAGATTACCATCACTCGTGCTCTCCCATTTGAAGTTGACGCCGCCCAAGAGCTCTTCGGCCGGCATTAGGACAACGATGACGCACTTTACGATAAAGCGCCTGGTAGTCTTGCTCGCACATATGGTAGGCATTGAAATAATGCGAGTGGAAAATTAGCTAATGGAGGGACTGGCTAGGTAGTTTTCATGTGTAGAATATTGAAGGGTGAGAACCTCACCTATGGACAACACACCTAACTTCTAGCTTTTCGTTGATTTTCGACCCATTCCACACGATATCAAACAATGAATCCACATCCCATACTGTAATTGATAACGACACCTGTGTACTTAGCGGGGTTGTGGATGTCGCGGAGAAGTGGATATAGTCCGTTATTACCAACACGGTGATAACGGCGTCGTTTTTTCCGTGACAGTGGAGCCCCGCTTCAAATTTGGCCCTCTTGGCCCTGATAGGAGTGCTCGGTGAAGTTACCCCAGATCTCGAACAACCTTGAACAGCTCTGGTTAATTCGCAGGGCAGATCTACCAAAAACCACGCGTTGTTTTCTAAAGGTTATGAATGACATTGACAGCTTCAAAACATTCCTAAGAAAAGATCCGAAAAAATTGAACCTGACCCGATTTGAACGGATGACCTTCTGGAGGCAACTGCATCTACTATTGGAACAGTAGATTGCAAGCTGGAATCAGATGCTCTACCGCTGAGCTACAGGTCCCATTGATGGAGAACTGAGTCTTTTTAAAAGTATATATAACTATCTACAACACCTATGGTCTAGATATGCTCTAAGCTTTTGCATGGTTTGGGTGATTATACAAAATTGTTTATTTCATTTTGAGAAAATAATGCGGCTAGTTAAAGACATTGGCGACTGGCATCGAGAATGCTATTCCATGGAAACTGGTGCTCTACTGTCTGTTAAAAAGCGCCCAGTTAATTGAGGAGGCAAGCTTGCCGACGCTCTGGTTCCTAAGGGAACGGATTTATTACTATATATTAGAAGGGACAACTACAGTCCAAGATCATGATATGACCAAATTTTTTAAAGTGACTAATTTCATTCTGTGGCCGATGACGTTTCATAGAACAAAAGTCCATTGATGAGGTTGCTGGGTATGGAACATAATGGAATGATTATTTGGAACGCATGCATTCTTAAGATGGCAAGCATGATTCTTGACTTAATATTCGTCTGTGCTCTTCAACATGCTCTCCGTTCTATTTTGAAATAAACCTGGATGTAAGCTTAATATTGTAATAGCTGTTTTAATGGTCCTTCTGTAATTACCTGGATAATCATTCTACCTCTTCTACACATTGCAATCGACCAAAGAGATCGAATTAGGGCTTCGGAATCCCCTTTAACCTCACCAGTATTGGTTCTGTGATACAGTCTTTGGTTGAAGGGTTCCCGAGTTCCTTGAGCAATCAGGTAGTGAATGAATGTAACTAAGGGCTAGAGATCTATAGCTTGGAAGGGCATCCAATATTGCAATAATATTCTTGGGCATGAAGGAGACGATATAGGTCTACGCTCCCCTCTCTCGCCTTCGCGAGGATTACTGTGATCGTGGCTTCAAGCAAACACGGATTTCAAACACCGACTTGCAGATTAGTTACATGATGTTGCCGACCTGACCCTCGTAGACGGGTAGTTGCATTCGCCTACCTAAGGGCCAGTCCGTGTGATAATGGTACAATCATTTCAAGTCTATCTAGATGATATGTCTTCAACCTTGTATTTGAAGCTATTGTAAGATCCAATGCCTCTTCGCCCTTTTCTAGCATTGGTTATCCCTTCGGTTCCGCCTTCGCCACTATTGTTACCTGGCAATTACCAACACGCACTTCCCCGGATGAAGGGTGGGGGCCTTACGCCACATATCTACATGTACCTAAGGTAGTCCTAAACACAATATTCAGGTTCTTATTTAGGCCAAAGGTTTGTTTAGGCGGAATAGAATCTATGAGAATAGGACGATAACCCTACAAAATGCATAATTATACAAAAGACTACCTACATGTGTACCTAAGGTACCTGCGGGTAGTACCCTCCCTGTCTGTTTGCTATTCACTGTTTCGAGACCCACTATAATATATGTAGATTCCCGGGTACACCCAGGCACATCTCGATATCTTGTCTTCTCATCATACCTGTCAACCATTCTAATATCACAGACACAGCCAACCGAACGAACCTAAGGCAAGCAGGCACCTGTGTGAGGATCCATTACTCATTAAAGCAATCTAATCCCCGTACTTACATGTCTTATGAAGCCTACTTCTGCATTAGTGATGTTACGTTGAAACTAATCATGGCAGCGCCGTGCATCTTCTTCCAACAAGGGCGTTGCAGAAACGGTGGTGGCTGCCGCTTCAGTCACTCTTCTGCTCCTGTCACCCATCCACCGTCGGATCCTCGGGCGCAGGTACCGTGCAAGTTTTACTTAGAGGGCATCTGCAAGCAAGGCGACAAGTGTCCGTATCAGCACAAACCATCAGATTCACCAGCCTCGGCCCAAGCGTCTCCTCAACGTGACAACGACACCTTCATTCGAGTCTTTCGCGGCGCTCTCGTCCGCTACGGAGACGGCGCTTGTGTCAACAGTCTCTCTCTGCCTTCTGAGTACTCGTCAGTCCGACTGGACAATTTGGCCGCCAACACGACCGCCGCCGATGTCATTAGCGTTTTGGAAGACCTTGGTCATGACATCGAGATTGATGGTTTACGAATTGTAGCCATGCCTCATTCTCTCTCTTCCCTTTGCAGTGCCTATATTAGTACTCCGGATCTTGAGTTCTCCAAGACGTTGAGCGCGAGTCTGATAGATGCCCCATACCGCAATCTAAAGGCCATGCCAGTACCCCCGAGGCTTCCGTCGTGGGCATCTACTCGACGAGCTCGTTGTAATAAATTGAAGCTGAAATGGACCTCACCCCGCAGTGAGTGTTACCTCTCATTCAGTTCATACGCGACTGCATTGAGAGTATGCGGAAAGTTCAACGGCGGTAAATACAAAGTATGTAATACGCGCATTCATTGTGACGAGCCTTTCATCAAACCAAATTCCGGAATGTTTTCCGTTGTGCTATCGGGACTACCCTATCGCTGCACCGCGGAAATGGTGGAAGACTCTATTACAGCCGACTACGACTTACCTCAAGAAACTGTCGTACAGCGCCGACGCGCGTGGAAAAAAATCGCCGCGACCTCGATTAAGGAGCTTCTTGATGACGTTGGTCCCATCGACTTCATGACGGAACCATATGAACACAACAGCGGATTATGGACAGCGTATGCCCACTTCGAACAAGACTGCGATGCACAGGAAGCCGCGCGAGTCGCCGAAGAAAGATCTCACATATTACCCTATGATGTCAATCTTAAAGTCACACTTCTGTATAGCTCGACGTTCAAAGTGTCGAAAGAAGTGTACCATCACATTCAGCGACGCCTCGAAGACTGCCTAGACGAACTAGATGCGCCGCGACTGATTGTAACATGCCGGGAAACTTGCCCAGTCTTGAGTCTTGATAGCCGGAGCTCTGAAGAACTTGCGAAATGCGCTAATGCAATTGAAGAAATTGTGGCCGGCGACGTGATCATGGGGAAAGACGGCAACCCTTTTTGGGTTCCCCAGCTTGCGTGTAATGGACCAGGCTCCAAAGTATTGAAAGAGATTCAGAAACGCCATGAGGTGTTGCTCCTGCCCAACAGATCAAAGCGTGAGGTTCGGTGCTTCGGAGACACGTGGAAGCAATCGGCAGTTCAGGAAGACGTAGTTCGATCTCTCACTGAAGATCCGGAAATACGCCATGCCATCGATATCGATAACGCTGGGTTCATCTGGCTTTGCAAAGTTGGTTTAAGCTTGTTAAAGGACGTGGTAGGGGACAAAGTTGTGTCCCTCAACGTGACAGCAGATCCGAAGAAGCTGGTAATCACCGGTTCTGACGAAGAATATTGCCAGATTCTGGCACTCCTCGAGATAAACGACATCTCATTCGCCGTAAAAGAGGCTAAATCAGAAGAAGAAAGCTGTAGTATCTGCTTCACACCAGCCGATGAACCGGTCGTGCTTGGCTGTGGACACACTTACTGCACCGATTGCTTCAAGGGGCTTTGCAAAAATGGCACAACACAAGCGGATGTTAGTGTCGCCTGCACGGGTGCAGAAGACAAATGCAAGAACGCCATTCCCCTCAGAGAAATTCAAGCCCACGTCGACATATCGACGTTTGAACAGCTCCTGGAATCTTCCTTCAACATGTACATCGCCCGCCGACCTGACGAGTTCCATTACTGTCCGACGCCCGACTGCGGTTACATATATCGTCCGACCAGCGCCTCAGTGTCATCATCGTGGCACATGTGTACAAAGTGCCTGCAGCGTATCTGCCGATCGTGCCATGCCAATCACGAGGGCCAACGCTGCGAGCAGTACCAGGCCACCCAGGCTTTCGAGACCTACAAGCGCGAGAATAGGGAGAATGTAAAAGATTGTCCGAGATGCAAGACTACGGTGGAGAAGATCGATGGCTGCAACCACATCGAATGCGGCGGGTGTAAAATTCATCTCTGTTGGGTATGTCTGCAGACATTCGAAGAGTCTCGCACGTGTTACAGGCATATGACCGAGGCCCATGGTGGAATTGGCATTGATGATGAAGATGACGATGATGATGAATAGAATGGCGGGGCTTTTCGTTTAGAACGGTTGGTTAGGGCACCTTCGTGAAATAACAGTGGGTTTCGTCATAGTTTCCATCCTCGTCGGTTCTTGTGGTGGGTGAGTTTTGGCCGAACGTAGTGAATGGATGTACTTAAGTGTACGAGGGATAATGTCTGAATCTCATGTCAGGTCGAATCCAAGTCAGCTACTTTTAATCTGCCATGCACGCCTATTACTACAGTATCCGTACCAAGACTCGGTAATTAAGTTCAAATCATGGCTAAAATAAGAAAAATGGAAAAAACCTAAGCCTCACCATGGACTTTGCGGTGGGTATCTAAGGGAGGTTGGAGGTTTTCTATAGTTTGACGGCTGTTTAACAATCTTTTCAAAAGCTAGCTACGGCTAATAGATCCTAGACCGCCAGGGCACATAATTATTCTATTTCGGACTGCGTGTTCTGGTTTGCGTTTCCCCTATGATCTCACCATTCAAACTTGACGTTAAGTCTATTTTCTGTTATCTTACTTCGGTCACATCGTTATCCAGTCAACACGGCTAATATAATAGAATAGACCCTTTGTACATGCTCCAATTAATTAGCCCAGGCGTATAGTACACGATCGGTTCATAATAATAGAGATATTGGAAATCTCTGCCAGATCTATTCATACTGCAGTTTGTGCTTAACCGGGATGTTCTGTTTAATCCTGTTAATGGGACTTGCCAGCTTGACCTTTCTTCTCCGACTCCCCTGATAAGCTGTCTCTATTACCCAGATCCTACAATGGGATGGCCTTTTGTTGATCAACCTCCACATGAAGATGATATACAATATCCTCAAAAAACATCTGTTTACTTATCCACGCAGTGACTCTCACCCCGCTCGACAGGACAGTTGAAGCTCCAGCGTTCTGGTCATATTCCCTCTCCAGATCTTCGATAACATGGCGGACCTCTTTGTCGTCGGGGCTTTTATATTTCGTAGTCACTACTGGAAGGCTCGATAAGTGGGCAGCCACAGACTCAAGCGTTTGCATAT